TCGACTAAAAGAGGTGGCGATCTCGAAGTTTAAGATCTCCTCGTCTTGAAAACATGACTCACCAATAATCTGAACACCCCCGACCAGTTTTGAGTGCTAGACTTCCGCAGTTGCTTTCCATTTTCCTTCGAGAAACGACGATTCTTTCCTCAATATGGACGGCGCGGGCTTGCTCGCTAAGTTCTCTAGGTTAGATGGGAAGACAGACAGAGGAGGACTGGTCCGCGATATTGGATTCCTGTGTCTGTTGCTATGGTGATAGTGATGCTAAATGAGCCAATCATATCACCTCATGCTCGTATATGCTCGTAGGTTTTGCCATGCATTTTAGCGCGATTAAAAAAAACTCTCTAAAATAATAAAACACGTGCTCTACTCAACCTCTTGAGAAACAAGCGCCCCAACAAGGTCTCTAAGCGGGCGGTATTTTACGAAAAAATTATCTTTTGCGCACTATTAACCACCCCGGATTGGACTACCTCTTAAATAGATGAACGGTCACCTGACAAATTACAATTTCCCTCATAACTCTTGAAACAACAAAGAAATTCGAAATTTCCCTGAATCTCATTCCGCATCTAACCTATTTTGGAGTATTCAATGTTATTTTAATGGCGTGAAATTTAACATTATCGATCATATTGCTCGCCCCGAACCTTTCCTGCCCCAGCTAAGGGGGGGCAAGTAATCTTTTTTTCATCTAACGGACGATCTGTTAAACCAGTGAACGATAAAAAATACAGTCAGAGAGTGAACTGGTACCGACTGGAATCCAGTCTAGTAATCGCTAAGTTACACAACATTTTGTGACGTTCATGTTACGTAAACTTTACACATATTTCAAGATTTTAACCAAAAAAATGACAAAAAAATCTCTATTCCGAACTAAAACTGGCTTTAAACCTTCCTTCTGGTGGGTATAACGTTTTCGCAGGTGAAAGGGCTGGCACATAGAAATCTTAATTAACTCACAACTGTTTCGGAGGGAAATTAAAAGCTGTCTCAATAAACTGCTTTTAGTTGAGACTCACTTAAAGTTATACCAGATGGCTGCGAGTCCACGATGTTTCTTTCCTCTTATTGGCTTACTTGGAAGTAAAATAATAAACATTTAGTGGGAAATAGTAATTAGATTATGAAATACATATTTTTATGCAAAATACTCGTCATCTTCCTTTTAATTGTTCTTGTCATTAAGGAACGAAGTTTTATGCTTAGCGACTCTCCAGTTTGCTTGGAAAAAAACCGAGATATTGGCAGAGGTACCAACTGAGAAAGGTAGTATTATTATTATTATTATATTATTATTATTATTTTTCGTTCTGTTATTGTTCGGATCACTGAAACATGCTTCATCCTGGTATAGCTTAATTGTTAAATTGTTGATGATGTGCTGTGTATGAATAATCTTCGCTGATGATCATTGTCCACTTTATTTGGATTCAGAGTTTTTCTTTTACCATTGTTGTGCTCTCTCTTTCCGTTTATCGATGATTATTTGAAAAATTATTCTAATTTCACGAGAGGCATTCTTCAGTGTCCAACCAATAATCTTCTAAACTATGTTCTGGGAAAGGTTACGATAAACTTTAGAGTATGATAGTGATAGTATAGTCTTCGCTTCATGGCACAACTTTGTTAAGTACTTTGTCTCTGTAAGCCTTACCTGAAACTATTGCCTGATCTATTAGCACTAATCTAGATCTAAGTAATCGTTAAAGTTAAACTATTTTGGTACGTTCAAATGATTCACGGAAGCATTTCCGCGTAAAACTATACCTTGAAAGAAAAAAATGTAGCGCCGGTAAAAAAAGAATAAAAAATGAAAAAAATGCAGATATTCAGGAGTATTTTTGCAATTTTGAAGTGGTTCCTTTTCTTGTCAGGAGAGTGACGCTCTCCTAAAAACAAGACAAAAACAAACAAAAAATGTGTTTTCTTTTCTTGTCAAGAGACTGACACTCAAAGTGCGCTAGTATACGCATCTATTTAAAAGACTATGCTGTTAGTTTTTCCTTTCAGCATCTGCCAGTTGAATAAACTATGATGCGTTTCGACTCCTAAAAAGTTTGAATAAAAATGAAAAAAGAATCAATATACTCCCTAAAACAAGACAAAACCAAACAAAAAATTAAATAAATAAAATAAAGCGAAATGAAAACGAGAAACAATAGTAAAGTTTTCGAAATGTTAAAAATTCAAGAGTTAAAGGAACCACATTTTGGCAGCTATCGGTTAAAACAGCCCAATGACGCCAATAAGCTAATTATTTTATTTGTCACCACTCGATTGGCTTGTATAAAGTAAAATGATATGATAATTTCAATTTGTGATCAAAAGAAAGACTAATATGTGAAAATATTGAAGGGCCATAGCCAGGATGGAACATAGTTGAAATTTAAAAACGATCTCTGGATAAAATGATTAAAAACTACGGGCTTTCGACTGCACGAACTGCATTCTTCAACGGGTAAAATGAATGATGATAAGAAAGCAATGAGAGAACTTAAATAAAGACATGAACTGCTAAATGATGAGAATGTAAATGATTATGAAGATTTGTTAAAAAGAATGTTGTATTGTCCAGGTAACGGGCAAGAATTGTTAACTGCGTTAGGTGTCACTCTGGTATGCCACGCTTCTAATGTCTCTCTGGTTCTAAAAGTGCCTTTGTCCATAATTGATGCGTTTTCAAAATCAATGGCGTGGTTGTCTGTCGTTAATTCCCATCACGACAGACAACACAAGGTCAGCACAACATCAACTCTCCTGCACAGGGCTCTAAATCTACCCAATTCCTCCGAAGGAAAAAAGCATCAACTTAATTATGCCATGCAGCTTCGGAGTCCAACGGCTATCCATCTAAGTTTATCAAAAACACACAGCCTAGAAAAACTCGATCCTCAACAACAAATGTATCCCCAGAGGAACTTGTTGGAATGTTTTTCAAGATGGTTCAACCAACCGAGTCACGCAAATCTTTCGCTTCTCTTCTTTACATCAAAGGAGTAACTGAACCTTTGACTCGTGTCCTCAAAAAACATGATGTCACAGTTGTAAACAAACCATTTACCACTCCATCCTCTAGAATTGCTAATCACGCCTGGTCCAACAACCTCGCCATTGATTTTGAAAACGCGTCAATTATTGACAAAGGCACTTTTAGAACCAGAAAGACATTAGAAGCGTGGCTTACCAGAGTGACACCTAACGCAGTTAACAATTCTTGCCCGTTACCTGGACAATAGAACATTCTTTTTAACAAATATTCATAATCATTTACATTCTAATTATTTCGCAGTTCATGTCTTTATTTAAATTCTCTCATCGCTTTCTTATCATTCATTTTACCCGTCGAAGACTGCAGTTCGGGCAGTCGAAAGCTCGTAGTTTTTCAACATTGTAGCCAGAGATCGTTTTTGAATTTCAGCTAGAAAGAGTAATATGCTATTTTGAAGATCAGCCGTTTTGGTAGGAATCATAATAATTATTCGTATTCTCTTTATGAATGTAGCTATTATTACAAATCTATAATACTTCACCACTGCAAGTAAATGTCAAGAGAATGATAGGCATTCTACCCGATACATTACATCTGTAATCCAGAGGAACGCGAAACTTGATGATGCGGTTTTTGCAGGTGAATTTTTCGGAGAGATATTCTGGTCTGGCCTCGAATACCTCGAGTCCCCCGTGACAGTCTCAGATTTGAAAAAGGCGGCTAATTTGGGGCTCGGTTATGAAATGAGGAAAGGTGTTACTGATCTTTTTAAGAACGTAGGACGATACTGTTAATTACTCCAATCTGCATGCAGCTTCAGCTAATAAAAATCCTCCACAGTTGTAAAAGAATGCCCTTTATCTGAGGACCATATCTTGCAAATATTAAACAATTTCCAAAATTTACAAAATTAAAATAGAATTCGAGCAATATTGACGTTAGAATTTCCCACTGTACGCCATTTTGGATACATTGCGATACGGATACCACTATTATCACCAAAATGGCTTTTTTGTTGTTTGTTTGTTTGTTTGTTTGTTTGTTTTTTTTTTTTCAAAAACACATTTTGCCTCTTTTAGGATTGACCGTGGTGTACATTTTAGGAGCTTTGGGTCTCCTTCAGCACATCATAAGCGTTTTTGTTGGGGGTCCAAAATGTCAATTCGATCGAAAAGAAACCCTCCAAAGAAATAATTTTGTTTTTTTCGGCTTCCACACGCTCGTTGCGTGGCGTTGTAAGGCAGTCATGAAAGCAAACCACTAAAAAAAAGAGAGGGAATGAGTGAGCCTCAGTTTCTATTGGTTTTAAGAGGGTAAGTTTCTAAACAAATTGTGGTGCTGCGTAGGTGGGAGTAACGAGGTAATTTTAGTTTTATCGCTTGAGTTGATAATGTAAATTGGCCGCCGTAAGGACTTTCAAAGCTGACGCTTGGAGCGTTAGCCTCTTCCTCAGAGCGAATGACGAAAGGGCTAACGCTCGAGACGTCAGCTTTGAAGCTCTTTACTGTGGCCAATTTCCGTTATTAACTCAGTTGATAAATCCAAAATTACTTACTTTCTATCCAGTTTCGTTGCGGTAGGGTTCGTATGCGGGTCTTTTCAACTCAAACTGTTGGTAATCGGTGTGGAACAGAGTCAGGCTAAGAAGAATAACCAGCACTTACTTTCAAGCAGGTAGTTATAAGATGAGCCTAAATTAAGATTAGTAACATAATGATTTGAAATCTATAACGAGTAGGTCTTTAAATTGATGGTAATAAAGATCTTCGGCCCATTCAGCTAAAGATTAATCCAAAGTTCTGGCTGACAATGATATTTCTCGTATCCCGGATTGGTATACTTGAGGCTATTGTATAATAGTTTGGTGATATTAATTAAAACAAAAATGGTTTTATCTATTAATTCTAGCGTTTTTTGGCTAATAATAAGTTTTCATTCGCATGCAAATTAAACTCATTTTCAAAAGAATGGTTGAGCACCAGGCCTCGTTTTGAAAAAGAGGCCAAGGGTAATTCGGAAATGGGCTATTCTTTCGCCTCTGCAAGTAAATGTCGCGAGAACAATAGGCATTCCGCCCAATGCATTATATCTGTAATCCGGAGGGACGCGAAACTTGATGATGCTCTTTCTGCAGGTGAACATTCATGGAATTCGAGTCCTATCTACACCAGCCATAATTTTGATGGCTTGAATCTTGTAGCGTACATGAAAGTGAAGGAATATATTCTGGCTCGTGTCATGATTCTGTTTTTTCTGCTTGATACCCTGGTCTGGCCTCGAATACCTCGAGTCCAACGTGATGGTCTCAAATTTCAAAGGCCGCTAATTTTGAGCTCAGGTATGAAATGAGGAAAGATGTTATTCATCTTTTCAAGAACCTAGGACGATCGTGTTTTAACTGATTAAAATAATTCGAATCCTACTCGGGTCTTTTTTAATCCAAAACCTAGGTAACTGGTATAAATTAAGATTTAACTTAATGACATAATGATTTCAAATTTTTACCAACTTAGTCTTTATTTTGACGGTAATAAAGATCTACGGCCCATTCAGTCAAAAATGAATCCAAAGTTCTGGCTGAAAATGATGTTTCTTGTATACCGGATTGGTATACTTGACGCTATTGGCCGATGTCATTCGGCGGAATACTCCATTGGTGGAATGTTCCTGAGAGGTCACGCATTTAAAACATATCGGGTTGGGCACCCTGTGGACTGCTACTTGAAGTGCTTTGAAGAACTCATTTGTCAAAGCTACAACTTCGTCCGCGGCCAATACCTTTGCGAACTGAACAACCGCACCAAGGAAGCAAGACCCGAAGACTTTGTGTCAGACTGGAAGAGATTTTACGTAAAGCGTGTTACTAAAAGAGGTGCATTTAAAATAAGAATTTTTTAATATTTTACGAGCTCCTTCATTCTATAATGCGTGATGCGATTTAGTGCACGAGTCAGAGAACGGTTGGCTTCGTTTTATCATTAGTATCATTTGTATTGGCAATAATATCATCCAGGGGTGTAGCTGGGTGGGGTGGGGGGAGGGGAGGAGGGTTTTTAGGTCAAGGGGGAGGGAGAAGAGTCCTAAAGTGGGTGGACGGAGGGGAGACCTAAGGTGCCCATGATCGGCCTCTTTGTCTGTCTGTTTGTTTTATTTATTTCTATTTTTGACGTTAGTGACATGCAAATCTCATAATGTCATTCAGGTTTGAGAAAACGCGCAAATCCTAAATGTCTGGGTTCTAATGCCAGGTACTCCATCTGTTGGTCCTTCTCGCCTAATGACTACGAGTCTGCTGATAAACAAAAAGGACAGAGGTGTATACCACTTCACGTGGAAATAAGTAGCTGTGCTCCCCCCCACCTGGGAGTCATTTCAGCAACGCCCCAGTCATCGTTAATGATATCTTCAAGATAGTAATGATCCTCATGGTTGTCGTTATCGTTTTGTACCTTCGGTATTATTTCTGTTTCCCTTATCATTGTAGGCATTAGAATAAAAAAGGATTCAGTCCCTTTCGCAAATTAAATGAATATAAATCTCAGCTTTTTAGTAGCCTGCGTAGAATAAAACAAGTCAAAGAGGGTTTTTTAATGCCGAATGTGAAAGCGAGACTTAAAACGGTTCCCTGAACCGGCAACGTAATAAATAGGTTGTTGTTGTTATTCCTTATTTTTCTTGGCGCAGTTCCTCTCGGAACCATCGGAGAGCTTCCAGCCCAATCGTTCAGTGAGATCGCAGCGAGCGAAGGAAATGAGACGGTTAACAGGAAATACTGGATATACTCTGATGGAAATAGTGAGGTCATCGAGGCCTACTGTGAAGGTATTATTAATTTTGTCCCACTTCTTGTTCATGTTTCTTACATACATGCAAATTTTTTTAGAAACGTCCTTTTATAATCATATTTTAAAACGTAGTTATTGCAGGAAAGAGTGAGGTAAGTAGTCGAGGTAAGTATAGGCAATGTTAAAGTCAGACTCCTCTGTGACGAGTCGAGCCTGGCTGCATTTACCAATTAGACTCTGCAGTGTTCTCAAGGAGAGAGATAATAATTGGACATATTTTTACAGTCCAGTATAAGGGAAGGTAGTTGAAACTGCTTGTAATCGGACTGGTGGAATTGAACATGTATACCGAAATTATTAGCAGAGAAGTTACTTACATAATTCTTATTATTAGATCACTGGCAAAAGATAAATGGTAAAGAGCCTGTCTGCTTTGGAACCAAAAATAACGACTATGGAGCCTTCAACATGACAAAGAGTGGAAGAGTGAAGACAATGAAGCTTGTTCACAGGTCAGGGTCGGTGCACTGCCACCCTTCAACAGGGGGATCTTACTGGGGCTGCACAAATTTGGCTTATAAAGATAATTTGATGACATTCATCACAGATGACAAGAAAAACGCCATTCTGCCTCCCGCTGAGAACCTAACTAAAGCAGGGTCCGAATGTGGTTTCAAAAAATATTTTTACAGTCTCGATGGAAGCAGCCTTAACTCATCAGAGCTCGTTTTTCGCAACCTTTCCAATCCGTTTTCTGTTTCACGCAGTCAAGAGATGCAGATATGGTATGGACAGGATTTGGTAGACTGCTCGGAAGACAATAACAAGGGCAAAACCTGTGTTGATGTGTACGCGTGGTATGAGTAAAAACCAAACTAAACGGAGCTGTTGGCTTATCTGACATTCACAATAATAACAGAGAACAAATCAAGTGCTAGTTAAAAGTACTTTAAGGCGAATAGCTGCCTTATTATATCCGCCTATCATTATTATCGTAAAACCTCTGTCAAAAAATAAAGCAAGTATGCCTGTCTATGCTCTGTTTGTTTTCACTTTTTTTTTTACCTGCGAAAGTTACTTCTGCCGCGACTCACACACCCACACACACCCACACCCACACACACGCACACACACTTACACACACATGCACGCAGACACACACACAAACACACGCACGCACGCACAACGGACAACACACAACACACGCACACACATGCACACACACAAACACACGCACGCACGCACAACGGACAACACACAACACACGCACACACATGCACACACACAAACACACGCACGCACGCACAACGGACAACACACACAACACACGCACACACACAAACGCACACACAGACACACACTCACATACACACACTCACTTGATTTGCAAGGAAAGGGGACGATAGTAGAAGTAGATATATTTTTTTATTATATACATACTTAGATTGACACGAAAAAATGGCGCGCAATAAATTTTCATTCGCAACCTGCTCGAAGAAGCTGAGAGCCTATCAACAATCGCGTATCGCTTTTTTTTTCATAAGTGTGGAAAACGATACATCCATTCAAGAGCCGTTTATCATGTTTTTTTTTTCACGTGTGAATCATTTCCACTGGCAGCCGATCCAAAACGATCTTTCGTGTCCACTGTGGGTAAGGGGTTAGGATCGAGGAGGCGGCTGCCAAGCCAGCAAAACATATACCATGGCAGTCCACCGATAGATGCACCGCCGACACTTGACCGATATGCTACCAAGTGTTGATTGCAACGTAACGGTCGAGATGTCAACAGATGTACCGACCAATTTATTGACTAAAAAGAATTTTTTTACCGTCAGCCATCAAAAATGCAGCTCAATATTAACCGTCTGAAGCTATGCTGGCGTTTCGGATGTCGCTATTTTTCCCATTTTCGCTGCCTACCGCGAACAGTTGAAAATCTTAAAGGATCTTTAAACTTGTAAACCTTGTAGTTTCCAGCGGGTTTCCACATATTTTCCCTTTATGTTCATGTTCATATTTCGCCCAAACTGTCAGTTTGAAAATATTATGATATTTAATTTTAATTGTCGATATTAAATTGGGTTAAGGTGGCTCAATAGGGTTTTTTGGCCGGGCGAAGAATTCGTAGGAAAATGGCGCCAGCTTTGAAATGGCATCAAATATGTAAACAAACATGGCGGCTTCACGCGAGTGCACAATTTTTGTCACATAATCGCGAAGTTTACTTGACGAGAGTGAAACACCATCGATACTTTCCAGTAATGAGCACAATATTGACAGTGAAAGACCAGTGTACACAACGCCTACTCAACATCCGTAATGCGTCAGGTCGCTTTCGGAAAGTGGAAGCGATCGAAACAAGAAAAGAAACAAAAATAAAAAGGTTACACGAAGGGTTCAAAACGTGGAATGCCAAAAGGAAGCTCCAGTTTGATAACATATGAAAGGAAAACGAACCCCCAGCAAAACGAATGACAAGAGCACTTGAGGTCAGTACATTTTTCTTTATTCGGAAGTCTTAATTTTTGGTTAGATTTTCCTGC